CCCCAAAACCCCAAAACCCCCAAACCCCAAAACCCCAAAACCCCAAAACCCCTTATTAAACCTCAGATTTGAAATGAGGGTAATAATGACTTATTTTATTAAATTATTAGCCACTTTGTTGATCATAAAGTTCCTTACTGCTTCAAAAATAGATGCATTAACACCTGATTTTAGTAAAGATTCAGAAAAATTTCTATCATGAGTTCATAGCCCAAAGACGAAATGGTGTAGAAGAGAAGCCTCGAAGCAATCTGGTGTCTGATGCGGTATACATGATCATTCTTCTGAGTGAAATAATAGTATGTTGAATAGCTGATCAGACAATGATTCCAGATTTGATTTGAATTCCTCTCTTTTGCTATTCCCAACCAATCGTCCCTCTTGTGGAAAGCAAGAAGCCTTATTTATTAGATATGGCCAACAAATGAGTGTGCAATCAAAACCAGGATTTGAGATCTGATGGTATTCTTTGTCTCACAAAATTAATACGTACGGAGAATTCCAGATTGATATAAGTAATTTAAAAATTTAACTCTTAGTGCAAAGAAACAAAGTTACGATCCATATCTTCTCACATAAGAAAGGAGAGATGATAAAGAAGCTGGGAGAAATCAAAGAAGAAGATCATGGAAATTTTGCTCGTGTGGATCCCAAAGAAACTATATATCTTCTAGCACTAGCAGATAAAGAAGACTCTAGAGTCAACCTAACAGCCAAATTTGTCGAAGTTAGGTAAGAAATTCAATGGACAGATCCTTCAATGATAATTTAGGTTGCCGAACTCAGTTATTGCTTTATTGATAGGATGCTTCATTATGATGATACTATTATTAACCCTCTGTTCCATAATGATTGGAGTAATCTGCAAGCAATGCTCACGAGTCGTGATGGAACAGAATGATTCAAATGTAGAGCCACCTAATATTGAAGTACAAGAAAGAGTAAAGAGTAACATGGACAATGAGTCTCAGGTTGAAAGCCCTCCTTTCACGAAAAGTAAGAAATGTGTACATATTATATAATTCTTCCACATTTTCTTATATCATTCTGGTTAGGAAAGATCAGAATTCTTTAAAGGAAAATTATCTGAAGAGTCTTTTCCATTACAACTTCTCCTCAAAGGATTCATGTATAACTCTCCTTGTAGGTGATGTATCTGCATCTACAGAGATCAAGGCAATACAGGAACAAGTAAGCCAGTCTTTTTGAGACAAATTTTATTGTGTAGGAGCAAAACACGGATTTATCTTACAAAGATTCGGCATTGCTGAAGATATTTCATCCGTTGAGAGGTTCGAAAAGAAGAGATAGCAACAGTCCTCTTCATATGCCAGAGAGGAGAAGCACTAGAGATATGGAGTAACCTAAGTACCTTTTGATAAATGATCTTTTCTAAACCTCCTATTTTTTCAAAATCCTCTTCGAGAGGTTGAACGGTCTCAATTAATAGTTTCTTAAGTTATCCAAATCTTTATGAAATGTTGATAATTCTTTGACAAAATAGACCAGAAAAATCATTCGTTGATTTATTACTATAATGCCTGCTCTCTCAGTGCTTTGAGGGGTACCTGCCTTGTCTCGCTTAACTTTGGAGTTCCCGTGTTTGGCTCCATATCCATTAGGAAATACTTATCTTTTCTTGATGTGTTCCTTTGCAAATTACTAAATTTGCACGAAGTTTTAACCAAGATTTCATATAAAAATTTTGAAGAATTTGGCCATGTTTAGGCACCTTTTTAGACAAAACAGTCCTTGGCCAGAACCCATGCTTTATGACGAAGGTATTTTCAAATTGTAGCATCACCAATGGGGTTTTGGGGTTTTGGGGTTTTGGGG